CATGATCCAGAAATCATTTGAGTGAAAGAACTGCATTCATGTTAACTGTCATACTGCATAATTAAACACGATTCAAAACAGACAGAATGCTGTTGGCTTTTTCTGCATGTTATAATGTAAAATTTACTTCATTTTATCTGCCACTTTATGACTTCAACATTGATTCCTAAAAAAAACAACACACCACAGGCATTATGGTACAGCGGGAGCACAGGCAACCCAACTGCTACTACAGGAAATGACTAAACACCCTGTGGATGTACAGTCTGGACCAGCTACTCATGCTGAACCTGCTCAGACTCATGGCCCTACTGCGCACCCCTCAGAGGTCCAACATGCCCCACTGCCAAAACCCGCTGGAGACGGCAAGAATCAAATCACGAGTATCTTCAGCATCATGAGCTGACTGGAGGAGAGGGGGTTATTGAGCAGGAGGAGAAGCATTCTGGGTCTCGGAGGAAGATTTGTAAAACATACTAAATATCCACCAATCTTGACCTAAAGTTAAAGATTTCTCGAAGTTCAATTAATTATTAAACAAGCCTGTCTGCCACAACCTCCCTTCAAACGTAAAGATGAAGAGGTGAGGTGGTGAAGGCAATAACAGCGATTCCTAACCTTTTGAAGTACTTATATAAATTAGGACTTTTAATAATACTATTAGGATTGTCATAACATTGTTAAGCAGTTAATTAACTGCTTCACACATTCAGCTACTTTTTAAGGAAAGAAAACAAAATAACAGGCCTATGTTTAGTCAATTTGTGTGGATCACACTTACTGTACAACATAAGTGCATGTGTAAAAACAGCGGAAGATTTCTGTGACACTGCTGTTTAATCTCACTCACACGCATGAGTATAACACTTTATCCTATTTTCTTCCCATAAAATGTCTCAGTCAATCAAGCTAATATAAGTTTTAGTTTTAGTGGCACGTAAAAAAAAAAAAAAAAAATCGAAGATTACGAGATTAAAGTCAAAATATTTTGAGAATAAAGTTGAAATTACGAGAATAAAGTCGAAATATTTTGAGAATAAATTCAAAATTACAAAAAGAAGTCGACATACTTTGAGAATAAAGTCGAAATTACAAGAATAAAGTCAAAATATTTTGAGAATGAAGTCGAAATTATGAGAATAAAGTCTAAATATTTTGAGAATAAAGTCAAAATATTTTGAGAATAAAGTCAAAATTACGAGATTAAAGTCAAAATATTTTGAGAATAAAGTTGAAATTACGAGAATAAAGTCTAAATATTTTGAGAATAAAGTCTAATATATTTTGAGAATGAAGTCAAAATTACGAGAATAAGTCGACATAATTTGAGAATAAAGTAAAAATTACAAGAATAAAGTCGAAATTATGAGAATAAACTTGAAATATTTTGAGAATATTCAAAATATTTATTTAATGTGGCATGACAGATCGCTGTATTCACCTCATGTGAATCAATTAATTGATCAACTTTATTCTCATAATTTTTACTTTATTCTCAAACTATTTTGACATCATTCTCGTAATTTTGACTTTATTCTCCTAACTTTTTTCCCCAAAATATTACGACTTTAATTTCGTAATCTTAGTTTTTTTTTTTAACATGCCACTAAAATGCTGTCATAGTTTTTCACCCACAGAATTGATTGTTTATTTCTTTTAGTTTAACAGTGAATTATTGTATTCTTGACATTTTAAAAATATAATTTATAACACCAAATAATATCTAGTATAATATGAGGAGCACAATTCTGGTTTGGAGTCGATGAGGGTGCTACTTGAGTCGAACTGAAGGGCCTGTGGGAGCACATAAGACAAAAACAGCTAGGAAACACTGGCTAAAAAGGCAGATATTCAGGATGCTAAAATTGATTCTCTAGAAGGCAGAAATCTGTGCCAGAGTTTTGGTGACTTGATCCTTGACATTGAGGGCTCCTCTGCACTCCCTCCAGCACAGGAGAAAAACTCATTTCTAGCAAACAGCAGGGATGCTAGGAATGAACTTTACAGTCAAATCATCTTTTGCAGTAATTGTTCATGAAGTAACATTTCAGCACAGTTTGTATGTTGTATGAAAGAATGAGCAGGAATGTAGTTGTAGCTGCTCAGTGTGTTTATGTGACGGTGGCATTGAATGAATTTTCTTTATGCTTTGACATTTTTGAATCGACTATTTAATCTATCAGGGCCACATAAACAGTGACATTCTTTGGCACAATCATGATGGCTTCCTTCCCAGCACAGAATGTGAAGGATCGCTCTGTCTTCAATACGTTGCATTCAATGAGTCTGAACGCATTCCAGAATTAATTATGATATTTCACTAGAAGCCAAGGAATGACATTGAGATTCGGCGGACATTTCTGGCACAGCATCGTTATTCTCATTCTCTCTTCCCCTATCTATTTCTCTCTTGGGTCCTAATTAACTCCTGAGGGCTTGAGAGCCCTTTGACACAGCTGTCTGTCCCCTAAGGCCAACTGTTCACTATGCTGTTGTGACCAGGCCATTTCAGCCCCATTTACTCCTCAACTGCACTTCATGCATAAAGTAAAGTATGACTGACTGGATTTTTTTTGTTTTTGTTTTTTTGCTTAAGACATTAGTAGATGGTTTGGAGTCATGTGGATTACTTGTGGATTTTTGTGATGTTTTTATCAACTGTTTGGACTCTCATTCTGACGGCACCCATTCACTGCAGAGGATTCAGTGGTGTGCAAGTGATGTAATGCTACATTTCTCCAAATCTGTTCTGATGAAGAAACAAACTCATCTGCATCTTGGATGGCCTGAGGGAGAGACTTTTCTTTTATTATTATTTTATGTTTTAGTTTTTAATTTAATTTGCCCCATGGCATCAATTCTCAATTAAGTGTGTGCCTGACAATTGCATTTAAGTTCTAATGCAAGACCACAAGATTTTTAACAGCTTTTTCAAAGACTAATTTGCCTACGAAAATAGTTCCAAACAAAGCAGAACAGTTGCGTCTCACAGCAACGCTGAGTGGGGTTTCATTTTTTTTATTTTTTATAATTCAGTGTTTTTGAATGAAAAGTCAGTGATTCAATGACCAGTTCTTAAATACAGGGGTCACTTGCTTCATTCATGAATGAATCAGCTGGTTTGAATGAATCATTAAATTAATGATTCTATGATTCACTTATTGACACTTGCCACACTTGAGTACATTTTCAGCAAATTTTCACTTTTGGGTGAACTATTCCTTTCTTAGTGCTGAGTTATATGCGTAATTCTTTACCAAGAAATTCTAATTAAAATATAAAACTGTTAATTTCTTTATTAGGCTATGCAAGATACTGTATGTGAACATCTAAACTTCCTTGAAACAATTCTTCAAAGTCAACTGAAAAGTCAACTAATTTTTGTTCTATAATGTGATGCATTTCAAAGCGAAAAAAAAAATCATTGAGAAAATGTGGGGTGGGAATCAATTTGATTGTAAATAGTGGCCATTTCATATTTGAATGGAGCCAGACTAAATGAGAGTTTGCTAAAACAACAACTAAATAGCTATTTGGCTATTGGTTAACATTATCCAATAGACAATTAACGAAAAAGGAACGTCGTTTCAGAGGAAGTTATTACATTTTGATTAAAGATTCCGATATCTTTTGAATAATGTGCACCGATAAACCATTCCCGTGCAATAAGACCAGGAACAAGCATTAAGACAGTCAATAGAATCCATTTTGATTTCATGCTGACTTTAATGATCACTTCAGTTTTGAGCTGATATTTCCAAGTCATTAGGATGAGATACTGCAGCTCTTAAAGCTTTTCTGTTTGGGTCAGGGATGCACTGATTTATTGTAATTTGCCAACCTTAACTTGATTTGGACTGTGAGAGAGTGAGAGAGTTATGGGACAGAAGCATGTGGGACATGGCGTACTGAAATATGACAATTTTTAAATTGGGTTCTAAAGGGCGCATGGAGAGCCAGGCACAGGCAGTCACAGAGCGAACGACAGAAAAGAACAATTAGCCAAGCACAGGGAAGCCACCACACCACCACCCAACATCAGTTACCCCACAAAGACCACATCACAACCCTGTTGCCTGTCAGATGGAACTGGAGTCGTCCCAAACTCATTAGAAACACACACACAAAATCATCCGCTCAGCTACCAGCCACTTACGCTGTCTCTGTTTTATTCAGAAAGCTTTTCAGACTTCAAGATTTGTGACAAGCTCTGGGGCAATATGTCTCTTCAGGGGCATTTTGAGATTGTAGTAATATTGGAAAGCATTTAGAAGGCTGATTCTATTGTAATATATGCTACTTTTACCCACTTAGCAAAAACTGTCAGAATAAAAACACTAATAGAGAGAGTGCATGGGTTGTAGAGAGATAACAGTCTCTTCCATTTTGAAATAACGTATATTTTACAACATTTCAAGGAGTTCTGGATGCTGATTGGTCAAAATAGCATTCTAGCCATCCTAAAATACACAAAATAATCCTTAGTGAGGCGAGACACCATATTTAATCTGACACAAATGAAAACAAGGCTGCAAAGGAATAACTGTACTCTTGATGCCAATCTTTCGGCTAATAAAACAATGAAAAAATGTTTCCGGTGGACAAAATGCTCTGGGAAAACACCGGCTGCCGTGAAAATTAAACGTGACCTGGAACCTTAAGACAGTACAACTTATTCATCAAGCTGTACTCGCTCCCTTGTGCACTCATTTTTATGCGTGTCAAATTAAACATGCTGTCTGTCTACCCTGGCAAGGGTCCACAGTAACCGCAATGTTGCAAAACACTTGTTCTGCTGCACAGCACCAACTATTAGTCTTACTTTACATGTCAGAGAATATATCTGCAAGTATAATGATGCCACTTAATGAATTTACTTAATGTTTTAATCAACATTTATGTCCTTATTATACGCTAAAACACACTGTATTGTGAATATGAGTCTAAAATGGAAGAACACAGTATTCGTATGTAGTTACACGGTCATCAGATCGAAACACTTACTTGTCTGTCATCTCCTGTCCGTTCCAGCAGAGGGAGCTGTTGAGTGCCGTCGGCTCTTTGCTGCACAGAGCTTCTCCGAGGCCACTGTAGAACTGACTGAAGCCCCTCAGACCCGAGATAAACTCCCTGCGGCAGACAGAGAGGAAATTAAGAAAGTAAGAGAGCAGCAGAATGAAGAAAGAGAGAGAAAGTGGACTCGAAGAAAGATAAATTAAATTAGATGGTGTGCACAAAGAGGCAAGATTAAAAAGAATCCGTGGAACAAAGATACAGGGATTTATGGGAAAATTGAGGGGCATGGAGAAAAAAGAGAGAAAATCAGAAAAATGAAAATGGGCTTGGGGTCAAACGCAGTGTGAAACGTGATCTACTCCATTACTTGTCATTTCCTGTCAGGCTAAGTTGATTTGAGACGCTTTGACTGTTAATTGACATTATGCTGGAGAAGAAACAGCCCACTGTGTTTGGCTCGGCCGCTCTCATCTGTTCATCAGAGCGAGGGAGAGTGGAACTGCACAGGACAGAGGGGGCAGAAGGCAGCTCAATGTCACTCACACGGCAGGAGACAAAGCCTGTGTTATAATGAGCATCTCTCTGTCACCATCAGCCTGAACACACATTGCAACTAACAGCACAAATACACAAACACACACTGCATTTCTCAACTCATGTACATACCTCCACCCACAATGACTCATGTGCCAGATTTTGACTGATTTTGAAAACAACAAATATCTTAATTAATTATTTCTTTATGTAGACTATACATTCAAAAGGTTGGTGTCAGTAAAAGGTTATTTTAATTTGATTTGTTCTTTTAATTCATACTTTTATTCAGCAATGGTACACTAAATTGATCAAAAGGGACAGTAAAAAAATGTATGTTACAGAAGATTTTTATTACAAATAAATGCTTTTGTTTTTTTTAACTTTCTGTTAATCAAAGAATCTTGAAGAAAAAAAAAAGGTTTCAACAAAAATATTAAGCAGCAAAGTTTTCAACATTGATAATAATAAGAAATGTTTCTTGAGCAGCAAATTAGCGTATTAGAATGATTTCTGAAGGATCACGTGACACTAAAGAGACTGAAAAGAAAATTCAGCTTGGCATCACAGGAATAAATTACATTTTAAAATATGTTTTAGTTCTTTATAATAGTTATATTAATAGTTATAATAGTCTTTATAATAGTTATAAATACATTATAACTTAGAAAGTATTACTACTTTATAATAGTTATAAAGACTATAATAGTACTTTATAATAGTTCTTTAAAATTATAATAATATTTCACAATATTTTTGAAATTTTTGTTTTTATTCTCTTTGATCATATAAACGCAGCATTGGTGAGCATAAGAGATTTTTTTCAAAGGTACTGATCTCAAACATTTGAATGGTAGTGTACAGTATGTGATTTTTACATTTAGAATGTGTATATACTACACATACATACATATTAATAAATACTATGCATTATACATCAATCAGGTCAAAATTTGAACTCAAACACATCTTACACTCAAGTACATTTTTTTCTAATTTCTTGTCTTTGATGTTGAAAGAAGTAGAAGAAAAGTACAGAAATAGAAAAAAAGGTGCATGTCGCCCCTGCACACAGCATCTCTCAAATACTCAAAAGCACAGAATAGACTGTTTGCTTTGGTTGTAAGACCCCTAAAAAGGTCAGTGAAGATCTATACAGAAAAAAACATGAAGGAAGAGAGAGAGCCAGAGGAGGAGAGAGTGTGAGTGCTGAAGTGGAGAGTCTTTTACAGCATCTCAATGCACTCCACACAAACAGCATCAGAAGATGTGAGCTGTATGAAGAGATGCATGAGAACGGCATTATGGTTGACTGCAATTCCTATTTCTCAGATTTATTATACACTCATTAGATTTTCACTGAATTGACTTGCTGTCAATTCTATAACAGCAATGCTTTGCAGTCCTCTTGGAGTGTTTAGAGCACTTGAGGACTCTCAAGAGATTCAAATAAAAACAAGAATATTTGTATTTTTTAGCTGAGGGTAAAGAGTAGTCAGGTCATCCTCATGTTTCATTACGGCTGAATAACAAGGTCAGCCATTAGAATCAGTGAGGCAGTTGAGCTCCAAAAGCACAGTGAGTGCCATAAAAATGTCCATTTATTTTAAACAGACTGGAATTTAATTCATTGTTTGTGTTCAGCCAGTCAAATATGGTTGTAAGCGGCCAAGTCTAATACTTTAAGCAGCTGAGGGATGCTGGACGGTGCTTGTTAAATGGACGCGCACGCTTGGATTACTATTAACTGGAATGTCCACACTAGATGTAAAAATGCTCATTGTTGTAGATTTATTTTACCGTTATTGGTCTTCATTTCCATGTAGGCAAGAATCCAAACAAACAGTCAACATATCCACCTATCCTTCACCTTTACAACGACTTGCATAGCGTGGTACAAACAGCCTAGCGTAGCGGTCAAAAAACTGTGTGCACCTTCCCTCCAGCAACACCTGTTACCTGAAGGAAGGTTCCCACCTATATTCTGTGAACAATCACCCAAGAGTGACCCCTACTGGGCATACACGTACATAATTCACAGTAAAGACAAAAATGGCTCTTACATACCGGCCCCTAATTGGGATGAATCAACATGCCAATTCCCAACACATAACAAAGAGCCATAAACAAATACAAATAGTGAGCACAATACATGCTTGTAACAAACCCCTTAACCCATAGACTCATGTAAAAAGCAAAGTTTTGCTACAGGCCTATCAATAACACTTGTCTTAGTTTGTAAGCGAACAGAGCGCCCCAGCCTTTTCTTATCAGGGAATGTTTCCAAAACTCTTCCAAGTGGCCAGGATCCTCGAGGTGCCGTTGGATCCATAATGGTCACAACGTCTCCAGACTTAAGGCTATTTTTAATCTTGTTCCATTTCTGCCTCTCCTGCAGCAACGGTAGGTATTCCCTCACCCATCTCTTCCAAAAGAGGTCTGAAATGTACTGAACCTGTTTCCACCTTCTTTTTATGTATAAGTCATGAACATCGAACAACCCAGGAGATAAGGATGGTTTTCCCTTCAACAACAGAAGATGATTGGGAGTGAGAGCTTCAAGATCCATTGGATCGTCAGACAGTTTGGTGATTGGTGGACGGTGCTTGTAAATGGACGCGCACGCTTGGATTACTATTAACTGGAATGTCCACACTAGATGTAAAAATGCTCATTGTTGTAGATTTATTTTACCGTTATTGGTCTTCATTTCCATGTAGGCAAGAATCCAAACAAACAGTCAACATATCCACTTATCCTTCACCTTTACAACAACTTGCATAGTGTGGTACAAACAGCCTAGCGTAGCGGTCAAAAAACTGTGTGCACCTTCCCTCCAGCAACACCTGTTACCTGAAGGAAGGTTCCCACCTATATTCTGTGAACAATCACCCAAGAGTGACCCCTACTGGGCATACACGTACATAATTCACAGTAAAGACAAAAATGGCTCTTACAATGGTGTTAAGAGCTGTCGCACAAGGTCTGAAATCAGAATATTTGGAAGTGCAAACAGACATGTGCACCGCCAAACCCAAAGTGATGCACAAACACCTGCCCTTTTGTTCTTTGACTTATAAGTGGCATTTCTGCAAGATTAAAAAAAAAAATTATATATTAGTTTTTAATTAAATTTGGCCCATGGCATCAATTCTCAATTAAGCTTGTGCCTGACAAGTATGCGCCTGCATTTAAGTTCTGATTATGCAAGATCACAAGATGATTAACTGTTTTTGCAAAAACTATTTTGCCAACGAAAATAGTTTGAAACCAAGCAGAACAACTGCATCTCACAGCAACACTGAGTGACATTTCATTTTGAATGTTTCAGTGTTTTTGAATGACTCGGGTAAGTCAATGATTCAATGACCAATTCTTAAATACAGGGGTCACTTGCTTCATTCACATGTGAATCAGTTGGTTTGAATGAATCATTAAATGAATGATTCTGTGACTCACTTATTAAAGGGGTCAAATGATGCGATTTCAATTTTTCCTTTCTCTTTGGAGTGTTACAAGCTCTTGGTGCATAAAGAAGATCTGTAAAGTTGCAAAGACTAAAGTCTCAAATCCAAAGAGATAATCTTTATAAAAGTTAAGAGTCAGCCACACCTACCTAAAACGGCTCGTTCTAACACGCCCCCACATACCTACATCACGATCTGGGAAGATTTGCATAAAGCCGCCCAAATGTCCACCCAAAGAAAGAAGGCGTAACTTTTATTCATGAAGGCGCTGTGTTTCGTTGTGAAAGCGAAACTACTTTCTTTTTCTGTAACTACTTTGTTTGGTCTTCCAAAAGAAGACGATATCCGCTTCGTCATGCCTTGTGTTTTTTGAACCTTAAACCGCATAAACACATTTCATTACACCAAATACACAAAATAATGTTATTTTTAGCAGCATCATATGACCCCTTTAAGACTTGCCGCCACCTACTGGTGCTTTCATATAAATAATAGTATAATAATTTTTTTTCCCAACACTTTCAGGTTGATTTAAAGTTGCAATCTAAGGGAAGTAGCGACAGGCCTTTTCTTTCATTTGTCATCAGTCTAAACTTTTTTTTTAAAAATATAACAAAATTCAACATTCTCTTTTAATTCAAGCTCAAATTCAAGATCAAGTTCAGACATTTTACAAAAATACAACAAATGCACAGATAACTTTAGGACTTAAACTATTACTCTAGGAAAACAGTTTTCATGTTAACTGTCTGATGTTTTTTTTTTTTATTCACATACAACGTTTTTGAAAACTGAACATTACCTGCGGCGTCCAAAGAGGGTCTCATCGGGGTCAAAGTTCACCGTAGGACGATTGTGGGGCACCGGCGAGGCAGCTGCATGTTCTGCCGACAGCGCCGCGGCACGAGACGACCGCGGGGGTGCATGTGCACATATCCCGCTCACCTGTGAACAGGAGAAGATTGGAGGGATAAATGTGATCACTCTTGGACACAGTCCTGGAAGACGTCCAGCTGAGAAAGCAATTAATGAGACAAACTGTCCCTGCAAAACTTCCTCCCCATTCAGCTAATTGTCTGGCTGATGGTGCCGCATTTGCCTCCTGTTTGTTTGTTTGTTTGGGTTTGATGACAATAGGATTTACATAACAAAACAAGGCATTGTTGGGTCTGTCAGACACTCTGGCTGCGCTCTTTCAATAATCATAACCCTTTGCAGACGTTGCGAAAGTAAACAAGCCTCTCATTCCCTTTCTCATGACCGCTAAACGCTATTGTTTTTATACGGGACAACATAATAATAGTAATACCCCTCTCCCACACTGGCTGTGTGAGATAATGGAGTCTTGCCATTCTTTCAGGTGCAATAAAAATGCAAATGCCTCTTAATGTTTAGCTTGTGGTTTAATGATTTGCCGCTGGCTTAATTTCCCATGGGAACTGGTCCAGGGCGTAATTTTGCCATGTAATGCTTGTGGCATATTGTGCCTGCTTGTTCATGAATGAATATGTGTGTGTCTGAGTAAACAGGCTCTGGAATTCTGATGGGATCTGGGACAGGAGATCAATAGTACAAGGACATCTTCATGCGGACTGCGGGATTGGTCGCTGTAGCTAAACATAACAAGAAGATAAACTTTTGAACATGTTCTGAAACATCAGTGGGTGGGGTGACTGGATTCACCCTACAGTCATTCATAAAATTTGCACACACACCAACAAATACAGCAACAAACTGCTGTTGAGCTAAACGACATGATTATCAGAGTAGATCAATAGAAGCTCTTTCTAGCAAACAGCCCAGGGGAGGGTAAATAGATACTGTTGATGTGCATGAATGTGTGTGTGTATGTGTGTGAAAGAGATTAAGAAAAAGAGCAAAACACAGAACAAGACAGAGACAAAAGCGGTACTGTGGAAGATCGGATCAGTGCGCCTCGACACAAATGCAATCCTGACGCAACATATTCCAGCACTGCAACACTTTCTACCGTTGCTTTTCTGTATTTTTCTGTGGTTCCACAGGTAATATGATATCTCACTCAAACCCAAGCTATTTAAAAGTGCAGGTATCGAAGTTACAAACTACTTTACACAAAAATAGCCAAGCTATGTTCAAGCTACTCTGTTAAAAAAAAGAATGTGATGAAAAAAGTGGAAAAACATCTTACAAGTGATGTGCAATATTGTTTACTTTATTATTATGCTTATTTAAAAAACATCTTTTTAAAAATTAAGGTAATTCTATAAACGAGAACATGACTTGATGAGTAACTTACATTTTAGTTACTTTCAGTCGAAATAATTACACTATAGCCTGTGTTATAGTTTCCGCGTGCGCTAGTCCGCTAGGGTCCGCTATGGTATGCGTGACGTAAAAATCATCATCGGAGAGTGTGCACCGAGGCTTCGCGCGGACATCCGCGTGCCTCCCATTTTTTGTGACTTGTCCGCGCGGTCAGTAGGCTACAAAAGCACCAACTGCGCATGCGCAAGCTGTGTGAATAAGCCCGTTGCTACTCGAACCTGTACAATCCGTCGATAAAACAATATAAAGACAGCCAGATGTGCAATAACTGTGGGCAATTGTTTCTTCACATGTTTGTTTACTGTTCAAGCCAATCTACTGCGCAAGTATGGAACACGTCCGCGGAGCGGACCATCAGCGTAATGCTTTCGGTAGTATAAATACAAGTAGTCGACGTCCGCGCTGTCCGTGTAGGCGTCCGGATTGCTCATGCGGAAAGTATAACACAGGCTTATGAAGGCAGATCCTGTAGGAATCCTGTATTTTAGCATGAATTATTCAATGAATGATTCAATGACTCGCTTTTAAATACAATCACTTGCTTTGTTGCTGAATGAATCAGTGTTTTTGAACAAATCGGTTGAATGAATGATTAATTGCCTCACTCTGTGACTTTCTGCCACCTGCTGGAGTAATGATGTAAATTACAATTTTTTTGAAACACGTAACAGGCAAGCGGAGTGAGTTATAAAAATATGTAAAAGTCCCAGTGCTTTTTTAACGCTGATATAAGCTATAAACAAGCACATCAATCACAATGCACAACGCTTCTTCCATAACCCCTCTAAAATGTATTTTGGGATGCAACTCATCATTAATATAGTGCTTTCACTAGTTAGCAGTAAACCTGTTGTTGCCTCACCTGAATATACTTGTATATTTGTGTTGAAAGTCTGTGACGTGAAAAGCAGCTTTATCTGCAGACTGCAAAGTATACATTCAAATATGTTCCCTCCTCCAAATCATTTACACTGGAACAGCTCTTATTGATTCTAACTCAAATGGGTGAATTGTGACTAAATGATTCAGACCTATTGAAAAGAACCGAATCAGAAGAGTCTTATCGTATGTAAAATCAATCATGCCTATAAATCGAAAACAGAATACTGTACAAGTCTTGTTTGCTCAAATGTAATATTTAATAAAATAGCATGGCTGCTGAAACACTTCATGATTTAAAAAACAGCAATGGTACCATTTATTCAGCAAAGCGAATTTAGTTCAACTAACAGCATCGCCACTTTCAAGCAATGGTACTGCTTAAATCTGGACACATCAAACACTCTCCTCTGCTCATGTTAAAACATTCTCTACTCTAACTATCAATTGCAAACCTGCATGTACACTATCCACTCTAATCCCAGACACCCACACATTCTTCCCTAATGCTCTCTGTGGTGTGTACTCATGGGAAATCATTAGTGGCTGGTCTGAAACATGGCTCTTTCCTGCTGTAATTTACTCTGTGTTGCGGGTCTGTGTCCCTACGGCCTTGATTAATGTGATTGGGTGTGTGTTTGTCTCTGTGTTAGTGTATGTGTGTATCCAGGGCCCTTGGGGAGCTGTGGCACAGGAGTATACAGCGGGTTTGTGTATGTGAGACTGTGTGATTGTTTCTCTCATTAGAGGGGTATTAATATCAGGCAGGCGACAGAGAATGTGCTGGCTAACAGTAACACTGAGATAAGCGGCGTCTCACAGAGAGGCTCTTTAAATATCCAGTGCCTTTTATCTGTGCCTCACACACCCCTGAGAGGAGCATTAGGACCAGACACACACACATACACACACATTAATATAAAACAAATTCACTCTCACATACACTTCATGACATGAGTGTGCAATGTTTAATACAGACATACATCCTAAGCTGAAACAATGGCTTATCAGCATAGCTGAAAATACAAAATGAATCATATGTGAAGGTTAAATGATAAACGAGGCCCAAGTAGAAGACAATGCTGGGATTTCTGCTGAGATACTAAAGCAATAAGCCATTCAAGACCACATGATGCAGTGATTTTACATTGGTTAAGAGTTAGCGGTTCTCAAACAGGGGCCCGGGGCCCACTAGGGGGCCTCAGAAAACATCCAAAGGGGGCTGCAGGATGACTTAAAAAAGTATTTAAGTTAATTATTATTAATATATTAAATCCATCACCAACAGGGGAAAAATATCAAGCACTTACATGCTTGACAATAACTACTGTTAGGCAAATCAAATACTTTCATTTCTAAATCTAAATTAAAATGCTAAAAAAACAAAATCAACATGTGGACTCAAATCATATTCGATTAAATAACTATTGTTTTTACTGAAGAACATGCAGCTGTAATATTGTGTTAGACAATGGGGGCCTTTGAGTCAAAAAGGTTAGAGTAAAGAGGACTTTACTTGCTTAATACTAATAATAATCATAGCCAGATTTAGCCAGAAAATGGGAGTGGTGCAAAAGTTACTAGCACTAAATTGCTGATTAAAATACTGCCAAATTCAGCCGATGTGCAGCAACAGGTGGGGGTGTGTGTGTGTGTGTGTGTGTATGTATGGGCTATTTTACAATGAATACAGCTTATCTCATCAGATGTCAGGAGTAAGATCCATAAGCGGAGATTTAGCTAGGGATAAAAGATTTAGCTTTGGATGTCAATAAAACAGAAATCGCTTTGACAGAGCATTTGATGTACAGTAATGTGTAAGCTGCATTTTGAAAGCGTAGAAAGAGCCATGTCAGATTGAAATTAAGTACACTCTAAAAAATGCTGGGTTGTTTCAACCCAACTTTGGGTCAAATATGGACTAACCCAACTTTTGGGTTAAATTTTTACATTAAATTTTTAACCCAAAAGTTGGGTTAGTCCATATTTGACCCAAAGTTGGGTTGAAACAACCCAGCATTTTTTAGAGTGTAAGAATACAGCGATTTCCTGGACCTGTCTTTCACGATTCAGAGTGGCTTAGAGAATATACTTTAAATGCCAGAGCTTTGAATCTTGATCTAATAAAATAAAAAATAAAAAAATTAACAAAGCAACTGTTTGTCAGTAGATTTATGTCAGTAGATTTATGTCAGTAGATTTATGTCAGTAACGGTGGTATATGTGATTGTATTTCATTTAGCAGTTTTGTGTAGAGAAAACTGCCAAATGGTGAGAAGAATAATACTTAAAGTGGCAGTTTCTGTCATTATTTACTCACCCTCAAGTTCTTCCAAACATGTGTGTGTTTATTTCTTCGGTTGAACATAAAAGATATTTGGAAGACTGTTAGTAACCAAACAGTTGCTGGTCCCCATTGACTTCCATTGTATGGAGAATAAAAAAATACTATGGAGTTCAATAGGGACCAGAAACTGTTTGGTTACTTAACATTTCTTCAAAATACCTATTTTTTGTGTTTAGCAGAAGAAAGAAATTCATACAGGTTTGGAACAACATCAGAATGTCCTTTTTGGGTGAACTGTTTCTTTAATGTAACAAACTATTTGTTTTATAACATTGTTAATAATAATTGAGCAAAACAAAGACCCTTCTAGATTGACTTTTCACAACAGATTCATTCTCATAATGTGCTTTTATACCTGAACCGAGCTGGTGCCATCATTTTTACCAATGCAGAAATTTTTTAATACACCATT